AAGTTTATCTGTTTACAGATCAACTAAGGCGTAATTGTATGTATGCCATGCACAATGCTTCAATTGCCGTCCAGTCAGACGCCTTTTGATTCTCTAAATCACCTTGTAACGGCGGCCAAACTGTCGACATAAACAACTGCGTGTTTTCCTCCAAAATTCCAGAACCAGATGGGAAACTTGCAGCCAACTTCCCGTCGGCGTTCTGCAGTGTAATGGATATCTCGGACTTCTATTACAGACTCTATTACAGGCGATCCTAAACTGAGTGCATCCCCTCGAGAGGGTTTCATTTCCCATCAGAGCAAACTTGAAAAACTGCCTTCCAAAATTTCGGAGAAGAATACCATCCTTCCATATTTCTCACCCTGTTTGTTGCCAATTGTGCTGGTCTTAGATAGATTAAATTCCGCGGATATATGTGGACTACCGACACCTAAATGAGGCACTGAACGTGACTTTTTCCCGTTTCTACGTATGGACGATAGTATTGGCGCAATGGTGGGTTCTAACTGGTTCTATACTCTGGATTTGGCTTCTGGATATTAGCAAGTCAAGGTTTGCCTAAAGAATCTTTGCGTAACAGCTTTCGCCGGGCTATCGGATCTGTGTGAAGTCGAAACAATGCCACTGGGACTTGCAAACACACCATACTACAGTGGCTCAAACAGACGGAAGTTGCAGATACGGACCCTGGATCCTGCCTGATCTACCTTGGGGGCACCAGTGTTCATGGCGATAAAAGAACACATCAGTCAACCGACAATTCCTGTGCCACCTCAAGGAGGCTGGCCTACCTTAAGGGCGGAGGAATTCAATTGTCTACAACGTACACCGTTGCTTTCGTGTGATATTGCCTCTTCCAAGCGGGTCCAAATGAACCCTGATAAGACCAAACACGTTGGTGGCCGTTGCCGGACTCAACATCATTAATGCATAGCTTCACAGGTCTGCCACCCAATACAAGATGTCTTCGTGGATTGAGGGGTGTGTTGAATACCCTAATCGCGTTTCAACGTCTTTGCATATCTTAGCATACCCAGATGCTGACGCTTGCGAAATGACATTTGGTGCCGGGCCGTCTCAACATGTTACTGATCAAGAGGTTGTCATCACGTGGTGTCCACGTTCTAGATAAGCGCATGTTGTCGGGTGCTGTCATTTACCTAAAGCAAATCCGTTTTGTCTTCACTTAGCCTTTCCAAGGTTTTCCATGGATCAGCGTATCTACTCTATGGTTGCGTTGGCGTCCAGTTACATATCATCTTATGGATTGGTGTATGTTAGTTCACCGGTGAGTGGTGGAATCCGATTTTCGCCTCAAATACGATCGCTTGAAAGGTCATTTATTTACCTGCTTGGTCTGGTTTCCCTAAATGTTGGATCTCGCTCGTCGCATAACTTAAGCTAACCTTCTGGCGTCCGCAGACTCGATTATTCCTTAGGCGAAACTGCGCGTCATTCAGGGATAGCTTTTAGTACAATTATACAACCACTGTTGTAGTCTGCATTATTTCGGAAACTAAAGTCACGATTTATTCTAAGTTTTGTGGCCGTCTCTGGTGGCTGAATTCCCTTTTTACCAATGAACATCTACTGTCTTCTCGCAGGGACTGAGTGTGACGCACAAAATTGTCTGGTTCATGGTACATAGATGCAAGTTGTCAGCGACTGACGTACAGGATTGCGGCATCTGCCTACTCTGCATAGTTCGAGTTTGTTCTTATCATAGAGCTGCTTCCTCTCACCTAAAATGCACAACAAAAGAAGCGTGCAGCGCCGATCTTAAATTACTCAGCGTCCTGCAGCAAGTATTTTCAGCACAATAACTTGCATCAAAAGCAGCCAGAATTTATTTTAATTGGGTTCTTGTTGCAGCGTTGATGATTGACTCAGCAAGGCTAGTTCACGCATCAGCCACCAATGATTAAAAAGTTTCTTCTAATGAAGGTGCAAGTTTCAATCCTGGAAATATTTTGCAATATCCCCACTGTGTATTAATAGTGACGCCGGGTAAAATTTTTAGGCAAAACTTTCTTAATTCAGTGCATAAAAGTTTGGAACGTTCATCGGTTTAAATGTTATGAATGTGGTGGCTACGCTTATAGCTCTAGGATGTGTGGTCCTTCTGCCACAGAACAGTATCTGCAGTCACCTAGACACTGTTGGAAAAAATCCAGTGGCTTGACGAGCGGTTGGATTCAAAAATGCCTTTGTCAAGCGTGACGTAGATTTCTGTGGCTATTTTATATGTCCAGATCCACGACGGACTCCTATACTGGGGCAAGTTTCCAAAACGCTGCGCCGACAAATCCAATGTTGCCATGCATTATCAGAAATGCAGGCAAAGTGTAACAACATTATCCATGTTATCGAATTGTTACTCAGTCGATCACCGAAACAGGGGACCAGTGTTTATGTTTGGATTGTTCTTCGATTGCATGAACTGCAGAAGTCTTTCCTAGCGATGAATCTGCGGACATTTTGCGCCCAAATCACTGTTGTTGGCATCTTCGTTGAATTTCGTGGCTCAATACTGTCCTGGAATATACGGGGGCTGAGTTTCGGGCACAGAGCAACTGTTGTACCGTTTTCTACGGTGCACCAGACCAACGACTAAGACAGATATTTTCATAACTGCTGTTGTTCGAGGATTTGGGGTAAACATGCTATTGTTATGTTCCTTGGGCATCTCGGTGCGGTTTGATCAATAAGTTGCCAATGTGAGCCCCGAGCGTAAGTTGGCAGCACCAAGAAATTTCCATTTTGGTGGTGCTCCAATAAGACTCACATTCGCAGGGGACCGTACCATGAAGATGGCCAGCCGTTTCGTGACTAGGCGAATCTCATGTAGTTGGTTTGGTTGTGTAGACTCTCGAGTCGCCTGCGATCAGCATGGCCAACCGGGTCCACGAAAGATTTCCAGGTTCGATGTGGTTGGGTTGGTGACTTTGGCTGTCGGCAAACTGGGTGACGACTGTGTTCGCAGAGCAGGGATGAAGATTAATGATTTCACGCCCTCAGTGGTTGTAGGGTTCACGCAGCATCAGTCGATGTCGAACTCAACGACTGTGGTTGATTTGTCGCTGGGCCCCACCCCTTGTCTCCGCACGTCCGACCTTGTCCAGTTCAGAAGTTGAGACTTGAGTGTGTGTTCACTGCTGTCCCTTTATCGCCTGTTACGTAAATAGGCGATTTTAGCACAACGTGCTTTGAACGCCGCTTCACGCGAAGCTCGCCTCCCCCGAGAACCACTGCCTTTGGTAGTCGGGGGGTCTGCGGTGGTTGAGTACAACTGCAATCCGGAGTCTCGGTCGGCTGAGAAAGTGTTATTCCAAGATTACAAGGGTCTCCAACCACCATCAGGTTGGCCGTAGCCTAATGAACGTCTGAAATGTTGTGAAGCAGTTTGTTGCGCGCATTCCCTCTAGGACTGTTGTGGCTGAGTTTTCGCGCCCATAGAGGGTGATCCTTGGATATGTGCTCGATCTTTGTGTGTACCATTTGAATGAGTCGGTTCGCGCCCAGATCTGTGCGGCAGTTGGTGAGGAAAGGAAAATTAGGAGCATAAATATTTGTTTTCTATCCTTTTTTGCGTTATCACCCTGCCGGAACAGAATCATACTCAGACTTTGTGTCGAACCTAACAAGGAGTGACTGCGCCAGATTTGTTGGCGTACTTTTTTGGAGAACGATCCTGAGATGACCAATCCTATCCACTAGAGACACCGTGGCAGCCACATTGGGGGGGGCAGGATGATATCATTTTAAGACAACGGGACGGGAATAATTCTAGGTACTCGCTTAGGGAGGAAACCCCGCTATCGACTTTCTCCAGGCCTCTAGGTTCTTAGAATTTTCCAGAGATTCAAAAAGAAGCGTGGGTTTTTTCTCGAGCATTCCGATTGACTAGGAACGTTCGCGCTGGTCTTTCCTATTCGGGAGTGGACAGTTGTTTTTGCCTTCGATAGCTGTCTTGTTTTTCCGGAATGCATCGCACCCTAATGTAAATGCAGCTGGAGCAACACACGGGTCTGGAAAGTTAGCGAATCGGCTTATCTGGTCGCCCTGCACACTCGCACATTTAAAATGCTATCGGGCATTGCATTTTACGCCTGGCTTTCGACGAACAATTACTTCGTTCACATCTGTTGCCTCCACTGTTAACTTTAGTGGATAGCTCATGATTGAAAGGGAGACACCGCAAAAACGGAGTGCAATCTGACGGAGGTTTTCTTCACAGGTAATGTTGTAATGAAAAATCCGCTATAGTGACACGTATCAACTCTGCAAACATATTGGACAGTGGAGGAATTCTTTCACTAATTTGCACGAGCAAAAACCGAGGCTAATTTCGAAGGTACCGCCACATTCGGCGCTAGAGCGGCGCTCAGTATTCGCAAAATAGAATTGAATTTTCAAAAGCTTCAGCGTGTCCTTGTTGGACTAAGAAAGATGGACAAATGAGCTTAGAGTACAAGTCCAATCTTTCGAGCCCTATCTGGGTCTCCCAAGAATCAGCGATGCTTGAAAAGTATTCTGGCAGACTTTCCCTCAGAGGCAAAGTTGCTTCACTGGGAAATTAATTCGGTGAGCTGCAAAAATATGAAAGAATACTAGGATGATTTTTTGTTTGAGCATATATTCAACAAAAAAACAGCCTTTTGGCCTAAGATTTTTCATCCCACCCGCAGAGGTTTTGCAGCTAATTTTTGGCCTAAATTTTTTATCCCACCCGCAGAGGTTTTGCAGCTAATTTCATTGTGCGGCTAATGGGCCCTTGCTGAAGCAGTGCTTAACTACCAGGTATGTTTTTATGAGAGCCTTCCAAAAATAGATCAAACGAGGGCGAAAATCGCACGGCGGGGGTTGTCAAAACAATTTGGAAGCAAAATCTTCAATCTCTGAGTGATTGAGCTGGATTGAATAGCCAAGCGCTGAACTGACCTTGGTGTGGACGAGAGCATTGTTGTGCGGATATTCTCACTCGCTATGGATTGGCTCGGGGGGCTTTCCAACATCAGAGGTCAACTAAGCAATATCACAAAGGACCTGCTTACCGAGGGAACAGAGGATCAAACTGGTTAGTCCGTGTTTGCTTACAATCACTTGCAAAGATTCACGAACACAGCTGGAGATCGCGAGTAATCGGATTGCTGAGCTGCATACTATCGTAGATGCTCAGAAGATTGAGGTTCGATTTTTCTTGTTTGTGTGATTGAGCCTTTAGATATCATCCCTGAAGAGGAGAAACGATGAGCTGGAGATTCAGCTCGAGTCAGCTCAACTTCGGCTTGACCATGCAAAGGAACAGTTCCACGCAACGCTTGCAGAGAAAGAGGTTAGTGCACTATCGCATAGGTAATTTGTCTCCAGGATGCGTTAATGAAACCTATCAACCATTTCTTTCTATCTTTTCGTCCGCAAATTGTAAAATTTTCGCTCCGAAACAGCCCAGGGTATACCGGCTAGAAGGAGGGTAGGCTCTAGAATTGCCCGTGCAGTCCTAAACTGGAACTAATATATTAGGCTCCACAACAATCCCTAAATCCAGGCTTCACAGGACATCCGCTGTCTGATTTCAAAGCCGTGAAGTATTGAATGAATTCCTGCGATTGTTTTAGCAAACATCACGCGTGACATGAAGCCAGAAGTCCATTTGCGTTGTTCGCTAGTGAATTGACTGATTGCCCCACATTGTCGGGCAACAAGGCAATTGACGAGGGACAAGCTTCCTCTCAGCGCTTATAACCCGGGTTGACATTGAACAGTTCACAACTTCGCCAAATGGGCACTTCGTATCCGTTACCACCCGAGGCGGTATTGGGTAGAGAAGCTCGGTACACCCGGCCCCCCAACTATTTGAGTGGGAGGTACGGAGAACCAGCACCCATTGTCCTTGGTGACGTTAGTTGGTAACTCGTCTGTAAACAACCACTAGTTGCAGTCTCACCGAATTCTGAACGTCCTATCATCTTTTCCCGTTTACTCGCCCTCCTTTGTGCAATAAGGCTACTAGACTGACAGCCGGTGTGACAGAACCATATTTCTGGCCGTGACGTTCACGATTGTACGCTGGATGGAAGGCTGTCAGGACGGCCAAACCTAGACAGAACGACGATTAGAGTTCTTAACCAAAACCTTTTGCTCAAAAGCCTGAAGCAATGCAGCGGGTGGGCTCCGGCATACTACCAAAGAAGTACCATTTTTTATGGAACAGGTCGCCGTACCTGTCCCGAACTCCAACCTGGAGGACCAAGAGACTGCTTGCCAGGCCTCAATCCACTGACCAACCTGGTATGGGAATCTCTGGGTGTCAAAATACCCTCCCCCTAGTTAACCATAGAGGGAGGAAGAGTGCTGTTTCCCATACCCAACTGAGAGTGGCGGAAGCAGAGAAGTGGCCAACCCTTGTCCAGCAGAGGAGTTTGAAGGGGATTACGAAACTTTTGGGTGACCCCGGTGTTACTCGTCTTCCAGGATGGGGACTGCGTGACCCCCAGTGCGCCTTGTTGGGTACGCTGAAAGATATCGCTACCCACCGATGTCAATGGCATTCTTGTTTTCTATCCAGATTGCCTGCATGAGTGTCTGGAGTTGTAGGCAACTCATAATAATTACATCAAACTAGCACTAAGTTATTCCCATCCACCTTTATTCTTTTCCTCATAATAAGGCCTTCAAGTAAATCGTGGTTGTACGTCAGTGGAGTGAACACTGATGTCATACTGCCGATGATGATGATGATGATCTTTAAAGTGCACTGTCCGTCACGCAATGATGCCATCTAGTCTTTGCAGCGGATCCCATCCTAGATTGTCAGCTGTCATATCACTACGCCGGACTCAGTATATCAGCTATTGATTATCTTATACGGGTGTAACAGCCGAAACAGCAACTGCTGGATCTGGCGGTTGCAAAAATCAATCTGCAGTGCTTTGCTTGATGCGCGATTTTAATGTTCGGATTCACTCGAGAATATATGGAGGTGGAGGAGGCTTCAGTGGACCGCAAATGTCACGAGTCAGTGACGCAAAGTACAAGCACACTGATGCAGCTGCTGTAGTCGCGAAATACTCGCACAGTGTATTGGCATTCCGCTGGACCTCGTCATGCTCTTCAGCAAGTACACTATACCAGGCTTGGGAAACTTGGAAGTCTCTGCGTCCTAGTATTCTTTCGAGTTGCTGTGGAGCGAACGGTTTCCACTTATTAAGAAGGCAACCGTGTGGTAAACCTTACCTCTAGTTTGTCGGACTATGGGGAAGACGAAAGGACTGCTGGTCAACCATGTTCACCTATGTATGACCATTTTACTTGTGCGCGAACGAAGGAAGCACCGATAAACGGACCACTGATGTCGTCTCACCAAACGAACTGCTTATTCCGCAACCGTCACGGACTGGATAGCACAGGCGTAATCTCCACCTATCTAAAAAAAGAACCCTTTCAAGTTACCATTTCTACTTGGTGTGGATGACTTCAAGCTGTTCATCTTGTTCTGTTTCATCCATGCCTAGGGGGTAAGTGCCAAAAAACCGCCTGTCATCCACAAAGGGATCTTGATGACCTAGTCTAGCCTATCAAGTCACTGCGACCGATGATAAACTTTTATTGAGTGCTTCGGTCAGGCATGTCTATATTCGCCTATTATGTGGATGGTATTAGATTACAAACTTAATGAAATCGTTTCTTCGGTGCATCATACCATCCAGCTCTTTGACTACATCAGAAAACCACTTCATGAAAATCAAGCTGATTTTCAGAGTTGAGGTGTGCATTGTCCATGTCTTCGTCCCAAGATGATCCTCTGAATAATACTGCCACCGAGCTCCCGGTCCGGATGACCTTCCACGCGCACTGTTCAAAGACGGGGGTGAAGTCCTCAGTCAGCGCTTGTCCGATCTGT